TGGTCCAGGGCACTACAGGTGTGCGAGCACATGCAAGCTAACGGATCGACATGGACGGTCATCACGCTAAGCGCGCTCGTCAGCAGCTGCGAGAAAAGTCGGCAATGGCAACAGGCGTTGGAAGTATTCTCAAGGATGCGTGATGCCAGCATATCACCGAATTCAACCAGCTTCAATGCTGTGATTAGCGCATGCGCGAAGGCTGGTCAATGGGTCCTGGCAATGCAGCTGTTCTGGAGCATGCCTTCCGAGGCAGTCACGCCTGACCGTGTGAGCTTCACCGCTGCCATGGCGCCTGCGCAACAAATGGTCAATGGCAGCTCGTGTTGGCCCTTCTCTCTGCGATGGAAGTGGCCAGCATCGTTCACGATGTCATCAGTAGTAACACCTCCATCAGTGCCCTTGAGAAAGGAGACCAGTGGCTGATGGCTATGCAGTTGCTTCTCAGCATGGCGACCACGAAAAATGAGCCTAACGTGGCAAGCCTCAGCGCAGCCATCAGTGCATGCGAGACGACCCGCCATTGGAAGCACGCATTGCAGCTCCTCTCCGACATGCCTTGCACCGGAATTCCTCCAGACATTGTCAGTTTCAATTCTGCCACTCGGGCAGCCGTTCGACAGCGGAATTGGGAACCAGCACTTTGCGTGCTCAGAGCAATGCCTCTTGCTAAGACGAAGCCGGATGTGGTGAGCTACGACATAGCCATGAGTGCAGTGGACACAGCAGGGTCAAGTTGCCTCGTGGCGGTGCTCCTCCTTTCAGACGCTTCAGCCCAGCGTTTGTGGAGATTGACCCGTCCGATGCCTTCCTAACCTGAGAGCAGCAAAGTTGCTTTTCAGGTTTCTAGTGTCTGCCCAAGTCGCAGTGTAGAGACCACCGTCGTGGTGCACAGTGATCGCGAGCCGAAGAGACATGAAGAGACCGTCGATCGCCGAACTCGTCAGGGCTGTGCGTAGCCCATCGTGGTGTTGCCATACTCGTTTGCATAGCCAGGCTCTGAGTGGCCACGGGCGATTGCTCTGTTGGCAGAGTTGCCGCAGGTTGGGTGGGGAAGGGTGTCCATTGGATTGGTGCTTTAAGTGCATGACAATTGTCTTGTGCGGTATCGAATGCGAAGGTCGCACTGGAGCACGACGTCATCTCATTCAACGCAGCGATCAGCGCTTGCGGGCGAGGTGGATGCTTCAGCAAGCCAGCAAGCAGGGTGTTCCGTATGTCTGTTACTCTTTCGGTTTTGTCAGGTTCCCAGTGGGCTGTGGCTGCTGCACTACTCCGGCAGCTACAGGCACTATTGCGGCTCTGCATTTTCGTCACGGTTCTGGAGTTCCTCTTACATGCCGCGTAATGCTGGTTCCGAGAAAAGCGAAGTGCAGCCACCGCGTAATTCTCGTGTGCTGTCCAGGAGACGGATATGCAGCTTACCGTTATCACTTATGGAGCCGCGATTAGTGCTGCAGAGATCCGTGCCGGAAGATTCGAGTCGAGGGAATGATTGACATCCAGGCTTGTTGTTGCGAAACGTGGAAGTGACAAGTGACTAGTGATCAGACTAGTCAGGTATTTTATTCAGAACACCCGTGCAGAGCAGATAGAGACACGACCTCTGATTCAAGGAAGGGGCAGCAATGGGAATGGGCATTGAAGCTGCTGCCCGGCACCACTGGGCTGCCAAGGGCGACGGCATGAAATTATGATACAGATACATTTTGCCTTTGTAAAAATACCGTATCAATGAACAGCAAGAGCATCTTTGCAGCAAGTCGATGGCAAGCATGCTTTTTCGGATCCGCTTCAGTCCAGGCTATCAGAGATGCTGACTCAACGCCTTTTCGGAAATGCGCCTTTGCAGCCTTAGATGCGCGTCATTAAGGCTCTTTCGTTGCAGCAATGATTGGTAAGGTGATCACTTGCAGTGCAGCAATTAGTGCCTGCGAGAAGGCAGGGCGTTGGCAAGAGGCATGGTACCCCGGCATTTGGATTGGATCTGTCGAGTACTTCCGCAATCGTGCCCGCTTCCCCGCCACAAGTGTTCGCTAAGGCACTTGTTGCAGGAGATCGACGATCTCAGGATCAAGCTGGACGTGATATCCTTGATCCTCAATGCATTGGCTTGCCGTGCCCTTTTGGTCGAAAGCAGGTTGAGCACGACATGTGGTCGGAGTTGTCATGTTAACGTAGATTCTGATGTCCAGCCTTTCACCTTTGTCGTTCGATGAAGCTATTTGGACCAGTCAGCGGCCGACTCGACAACGCCAAGGAGTGCGGGGATCAGCGCTTGTGGACGCGACTCGCAGTGGCGCCATGCGGTTGCATTGCTTGCGAACATGCAGCTCCGGCACGTACAAGGCTTGTGCTGCTGTCACCATGCTGTAGGATGACGGGTGCTGTGATTCGTTGAGCAGGCAACCTGGTTACATACAACAGTATTCTGAGTGGACTTGAGAAAGCTGGGCAGTGGCAGCTTGCCCTCTCGTGTCTGGCAGAGCTCCAAGACCAGCTGGAGCTCGATGCTTTTTGGCAGGCATTGTTCTTCTGAGTTGCTTGCCCATGCAATGCGGCATCTTAAAGGGGCTCGGCTTCTAGTAGTTCAGGGCACTTCACGACCTTCTGCACGTGGACAAGGTTATAACTTACAGTGCCGTGATCAGTGCTTGCGAGAAAAGCGGGCGCTGGCAAGAAGCCTTGCTGGTTTTGGCCGACATGCGGAGGCTGGAAGCACCGGGTGTGTCTGTGCTGTCTACATCCTGCTGTGTCTTCTTCCTCCTTGCCTTCGCCGCTGTTGCAGACGGCGGCTAAGTGGCAACGACATCACATACAACGCGTCTATCTCCGCATGCCAGAAGGGCGGCCAGTGGCGCTTGGCCTTGCAGCGACTCGTTTGCTAAGACATTGCAGCTACGCGAGCGATCGATCGGGCGAATGCTACCTTGGCGCAAGGCTCCTTTCTGACTTTGACATCCTGAGCCTGCAGAGGGATGTTGCTTGGCTTCCTTGGCATCAATCCTCGCACCTTTCGAAGTTGCATGCCCCAGTGCCACATTGCCAACGATCTACTTAGGAGATCAGTTACAGTGCTGCGATCAGTGCATGTGAATGGGGTGCGCTGGCTTATGTTGATTTGACACTTGCGCAGTAAATCTTCTGGTTGAGTGGTTGGGAATCCGAGGAGAACCAGCAAGCTGGAAAAAACGAACGCGTTGGCAGCGCATAAACGAAACCACGGCGTAAAAGCAAATCCGTTGGTGAAAAAACCTCAAGCCAGGACCTGGATCTTGTTTAAATCGCTGAGTAACGAATCCACACAGTATCCACAGACCACAGGCATAGGAGTTGAGCTGCGGTGCGAGGCTCTACAGGCTGAAATGTGCGTTTACGCCTTGAGATGGTAGATACCCGGAAGCTTCTTGGTTTTGGGAAGGGAATCACGAGGTTGATGACTGTGGCTTGTTTGAGTCAGCAAAAGCCTGACATGTATGCGAAACAGATTTAAACCAAAGTTGTCAATGTCAATGCAAGTGCATGCCACCGTTGGGGTGTAAGGGCGGGCAGCTCATGATAGTTTCGAAGAGCTGCTGCGGGAAGTTCCCAAGAGTGTGGCTCAGTCAGCTCTACTGAGTACTTTTTCGATACTTCGATTTTTCCAAACGTGGGAACACGAAGTATGTGTTCTGGAAGGAACCCCTTTCAACTGTACTGTACTGTACATGTGATAGACAGGCTCTGCTGGATTCACATCCGTCCGTCTGTCCGTCAACCATACCATCCGTGTGGAACCATACCATCCGTGTGGCCATCAGCCGAGTTCACGTTTCTGGCTTCAGAGCGTGTGCTGATGCCGCCATTGCCAGTTGTCAAAGGCTACCAGTGGCAAAGATCTCTGCTTCTCCTCGGGAATCTGCTGTCCTTCGAGTTCGAGACCAACATCATCACGTGCCTCTCTAATCGGAACACTGACTGAGGGCTTTGGGCCGCGACGAGACGTCAGGGCCAAGTGAGAGTCATGACTGCTGTCTGTACAGGGCTTTGCCGCAGGTACAACGCTGCTCTCAGCGCTTGTGCTGAAGCCAGCAGCTGGGAACAGCCCTTGCTTCTGCTGACTGACCTGCAGGACGTCCAAGCTCGCCTTGGTATCTTGGATAGGTCCGCAACCGAAGAGCCCATGAGCAGGAGCTGAGACTCACCGCGAACACAATCACCTGCAGCGCCGCCAAGCGGCAAGGAGTCCAAGTCCGAGCCCTGTCCTCGGGTTTTACGCCAGCATGTGGCCTTTTGGCTCAGGTTGCCATCAGTGCATGCGAGATGACGAGCCAGTGGCCTGAAGCTATGCAGCTTGGCCTACTTGTTCAAGTACGTCTCCGGCCAAAGTGTAACAGCAAAGGAAGGGCGGCTGACCTGAGCAATCCCGAGGTTCCTACTTGGGGACTTGCAGGCTAAAAGCTGCCGAAGCAACATGCTCACCTACAGCTGCTTGACAAATCGACAGCGTTTGCGCTACATAGAGCTCCTATTGGCTCCTTCCAATCCCTCTGGGCCAATGAAGCACAGCGAGAGCCTGAAGTAGAAGCGTGTTGCGGACCCTGATGTGTCAGCTTCTGTGCTTCTGAGGCTTTGCTGTGGGTGCCTGCGGATCTGCGGCTCAGGGTGATAGCCTCTTATCTCTGCTCCTCGAAGTGCGGACTGAAGCGCGCAGGCTTCTGCAAAACACTTGCTGACAGCGTTGGGGATGATACCCGGAATGCCCAGTAGATTACACGTGCAAGCAGAACGTGCAGCAGCTGAAGCCAACACACATCTACTCTACACAACAGTTTCGTGTCTCCAGCGAGAGCGCGAAAGCTTGTAAGTAGTCTATCCTGTACTGACATTGTTCGTACTGTGATTTAGCCGATGCTGGCCGAATTGCTGATTTCTGATATTTCTGTATTCCTTCCTGGCTGTCATGATTCATCGGCGCACACTCGCGTCTGTTGTCTTGCTGCCACTGTGCAGTTGCTGAGGTCTCCGGAACGTTCTGGGTCCTGAGTGCTACTCTCTGGTATCTTGCGGAGGCTGCACGGGAGCGCGGGCTAATGACTCCGAGGGCTCCTGCCCAAGCTTGCGCGTGCAAGAAGCATCCCCTTTGCCTGCAGGGTGGAGAGCAGGGCATGACGGACATGTTCTCCACCTTGCAGCACGAAGCATTCAGAACTTGCGTAGCACAGAGAAATCATTTCGGATCTCCATGTACGGTGAGCAAAGGTACTACACATGTATCTTCCTCCTGGGAGAGTGGTGCTCGTTCGATTTCTCGCCAGTAGGCGCAGGAGGGCCCCTCTAATGACTGTGGAATCAGAGTTTCAGTGGGTTCAGGTTACCAAGCATCGACGTAGCACCATCAAGGGGAATCCCTGCAAGCCTGGCAGGACTCAGCATGCTCTACTCTATCGTCGGTGTTGGCTTGAATGCCATGCCCATGGCGGCTGTCCAGGATGCCCTGACGAATATGCCACTCTGTCTTAATGTCAGAACAGGTGAAAGAGAGATGACAGTTTGCGATCGGACCCAGCACTGTGCCTGATACTGATGCGTGTCACACAAGTAACGGGCAGCTAAGGACGGATTCAGGCGGGGCTCCGTGTGGTGTTCCTACTTGCAACCAAGAAGCCACATCGGATGCAAGAGGGGCTGCACTTTTGCACCGTCTGTATTGTCAATGCAGATTGTGGAAGTCTGGCAGCACGGAACCTCCTGCAAGAGCTCTGTCGGCACAGGTGTGTACCATCTGATGGTCGAGCGGCGGAGGCTCATCCACTCGGGGAGCAGCTTGTCAAAGCTTCATTGCCTTAAAAGCAGCAGCAAAGCCGTGACTTCGGAGAACGCTGCGAAGAGCTTTGCATCGAAGGCAACCTTCGAGGCTCTGATGACTCCGACGCGCCGGAGCCCCAGAGCTGGACTGGGCCTACGTTGACGCTACGGGGCCGGCGGGGCTCTGAGCTCTGAGCTCTGAGGCGGTGGAAGGAGTACCGGCCGCGCAGAACGGAGGTGGAAATGCAGGTGATCGAGAGCATCGATCAGCCCATCCTCTGAGAGGAGAAGAAGAAGTGCAAAGCCGCGGCTTTCGCTCGACTCTTTTTCGGGAGTCTGCAAAGGAGTGCTCGAGAGGGTCCAAAGAGACGACCTGCGGTGGGCACCTCCCCGACGACAAAAGAACAGCGCAGCAAAGCAAACCACGAAATTGCCAGCTATTGCCACTTCTTACCTTGTTTTGACTGTGGCAGATCGCCAAAGCCCTGGACGGCTCGGAGTTTCTGGGACGGTCCATCAAGGCCAAACTGGGGTCTTTACTCTTTACTTGATGTCTCTGCCCTCTTGAACTCTTTGCGTGTTTCGTCGCTTCTCCCACGAGGTGGACAAGAAGAAGGCCACGAAGGGGAAGGGCGATGAGCGGCTCAGCTCAGCTAGTCATGCTAGTATGCTAGTCGCAGTGGCATGTGTGTAATACATGTTTTGCATCCTGACAGTGTCAAGGAATGGCAAAGGTTGGGGCATGTGGGGCATGATGGGTCGGAGGCCCAGTGTGAACTTGGCGACTGACCTGCTAGCATTGAGGCCGCACATCGACACAGTGTCAGCACGCGTGTCTGGTCTTCCATCGGAGTCCTTTCCCTCTATCGTGGCATGATAGTTGCTTGCTGGTGTCAAGCCTTGACTATTGCCATGCTGCCATCGACAGATGTCGTCGGCCTGTTGCTGCAAGGCAAGAAAGGTGGGAAGGACATGGGCAAAGGTGCGCTCATCAATTCTAGGAGGGACTTATTCCATTGTGATCAGGAAGGTGATGCATCCCGGACAAGATCTGTTGAACTCACTCACAGACTCCGCGTTGACAATGTATGTCTGCCCGTAAGCAGACCCGCTCGCCGCAGGTTGGTGGGGAGGTACCTGCTGTCATGCTTGAGTTTCGCTTGGTGAAGTGATTGGCTTTGCTTTTCAACCGTTGGTCTTTTGGAAGCTGCGCACGCTAGTCAAGCATAGGTAGCCGTTTATGCACAGGACCGAAGGTCACACCAAGAGAGGTAGTTTCAATAGAAGTGTCAGCCAGGTTGGTGGCCCGGAGGACGGATACGGTAAGACGTCAGCGTCGGAATGCGCCTTGTGACCTAGTAGCTAAACATGCGGGCACTGCGGGCACTGTGCCTTGAAGGACTGTGCAGAGTGCTGTGGTGAGCCGCATGCCACATCAGATCCCTGTGGAAGGAAAAGGATGGAAAGGGTGGGGCGGCGGCCCGTACTAGGCCATTGGCATTTGTTGTTCCCCGGCTGCAGGCTAGCATGCAGTCCCTTGCTATTAGCAGTCGTTGAGGCTGATGTAGCCAGTTTTGCAGCTCCGGCGCTTGAGTTGACATTTCTGCACAGTCATGAAACCAAGGAGTCTCTGTTGGGACGACTGTGAGAGCAGGGCATCGAGCCCACTTTGACTTGCTGCTGCGGCAGTTGTGATGTATAGATTCCAGTCCTCGATGTGGTGGCGCACCTCAAAGGAAGGATCCGCAGTGATTGTCGGCGTCGGTATGGTGACAGAACGATCTCTCAGGGGCACTTGCCCAGCATGCGACGACTGTAGTTCGTGCTCCCCTCACGCAATAGATGAAAGTAGATGACAGATCCTTTAGTGCCGGGCGCTGAGACACCCTGCTGCGCTGCTTGAGTTGATAGTTCGGCATCAGGACTAAGGTACTTCAACCTTCCTCGCGCTTGGGCTCAAGCCGCTTCGGTGTCGAATAGATGCAGTCGCCGCCGGCGAGATACTCAGCAAATGGCATTTCACGAGTGACGAAGCTAGATCCTCCAGTCAGACGCCATGTTGATAGGAGTGCATGGGTATGGAGCAAGAGCAGCACGTTTGCTTTTGAGATCAGACACGGAATGTGGGCATGAGAGCCACCAGTTGCCAAAGAGCTTGAGAGGCTCCATTGTTTCTGCTTTGTGTCGGGCCTTCTGCTTCGGGGTTCCTGATGGAAACAGTAAGAAGCAGAGTTGTGGCACAGCAGTCATGGCTCAGCTGAGCTCCAACTAACGTCCCGACAGCCGACGTGATGGATATCTTTCTTACGTTTGAAGCCCATTCGGTTTCGTGCCGGTTCATGAGCCGGGCTTCGGGGCAAGACTGCACCAGCTTAGTCTGCAGTGTAGTCCCCACTCCTTCCGTGTTGCGAGGTGCAAATGTAAAGCAGAGCTCTGCTTAAGGCTCGGTTTAGGAGTTTAGGGCCAGTCCGAACACGGAAAACCGCCGAAGACATTTTTGGCCCCAGGGAGCCGAGAGCCAGCCATCCCATAGCTTTCACACTCTAGCTGGCGAGACGAAGTCTTGCAGCAAGACTTATGGCTATGCGCTTTTTTTTGCTCCTGGCGTCCAGCTTTGTTCAGCGGGTCCATTCTGCGAGCTGCTACAGCCCCGCCGACTTCAGCACAGAGAGCTGGCCGTTCTGCCAGGTCTTGAGTGACAGTCTATCCATGTACTTCGGCCCCGCAGGCGACGGTTTGGTTAGGGACGGCTGTCGGTAATGGACTGCGGTTAGGATTGGTTGTTTCGGCCCACAGGCGACGGTGACTACATGAAGCTTGGCTTGCACGCGGAGAACCACGTCGGATGGAGCGCGTTGGCCATCGGTGGCAACGGCGGTATGAAGGGAGCTCAGCAGGTCGTCGTTCGCCAGGTTGGCAAGTTGCTAAACAAAGCTCCCGCAGGTTCCCTCGCTTCTCTACATGAGGTGCTTTGTTGTTTGTTCACATCAGAACTCTGAAGGTTTCGGAATTGTTGCGGCTGTTCGGACTCGCATCTCCGGGCAATTTCCAGCCCTGAAGGTGAACGGAGCCTGGGTGGCTGAAGAGCGCTACTCCGCAGACTACGTGGAGCCACATCTACAGGAAACACAGGAGGTGCTTCTCATCTTTGCGAATGAATCTGCAGGGAGCACCTCTTGGGGAGTCTTACTCCCCACACGTTCATGCAAAGCTGGTGACAGATACGCCATGGAGGACGTAGGAATGTTCATGCACTGGGCTCTGGGCTATTCTCATACCTTCTCCTACCACAAGGAGCGGGGACAGTTCCATACCAATTTGGTCTCCGGTCCTCCGGCGCCCCCGCCAGACATGAGCTCTTTCCCTTCAGTCACGTTCACGATGCCGGACGTGCCTGTCGTGCTCGGAGAAGGCCCTGTAGCGACTGCAGCATTTGCGTTTGATTGCAGATTCAATTAACTGCGTTCCGTGTTTTGGTGGCAGGTGGGAGCGATGCGATGAACCCCTACATCTGCGGTATTTTTGACCTCGCAGAGGCGTTGCCTGCAGGTCTCCTCACCACGTCCAAGCATCATGCCGCTAAGTTCGCCCCGGTCCTGGCATCTGCTTCGAAAGAGTTCGTGCACCACATGATCCTCTTCGAGTGTGCAGACCAGGTTGCGGTCGACAACAACTTCACGCACAACCATGTCATCCCAAACTGTGAGCGTTGGATCCTCAGAGCTTGAGTCTGAGTGAATAGTAGGGCTCTTTTCAAGAAGGCTGTGCATTTTCATGCATAGACGTTGGAGTGATGAAAGTGGTTCCGTGCGAGAGCTGACTTAAGGCATGGTGCGAGGGTGCCAGACCAGCAAGTGGCCGTGGGCAGTTGGGGGAGAAGATCTGGTCCTGCCCGACGACGTAGGTGTGCCCATTGGGAATGGGGCTCGTTGGTATGCTCTGCAAGTCCACTACTATAATCCCAGCCTGGTCGCGAACGTGAGTGACAGCAGCGGTGTGCGTGTCGCCCTGGCTCCCAGTCTGCGGACCCATGATGCAGAGACCTTCGGTGTAGTGGGTGGCGCGAGCCCCATGCAGCGCGAGCCACTGCCGCCTGGCCAGGCCGAGGTCTCCATCCCCAGTGCGGTCGTCCCAGCGCAGTGCACCAGCCAGTGGAATGCCGATGAGATCACTGTCCTTGGCGTGATGCACCACGCGCACCTTGTTGGTAAGAAGCTCGCAATCCACGTCAACCGCAATGGGGAGTACATTGGCGAGATGCGCAGGGAGAAGGTTTACGACTTCAACCACCAGTCGCTGGAGGGCTCCTCGATCAAAAAGCTGAAGAAAGGCGATGAGCTCACGCTGACATGCAGCTATGACACCTCCAGCAGAACGGAGCCCACGGCTTTTGGCGACTTCACCCAGGACGAGATGTGTTTGGCGTACTTCTTGCACTATCCTGCTCAGGCTTCAAGGCGTTCGATCTTTTTGCGTGCCCAAGGGGAGAACCGCATTTCGCTGTGCAACAATCCCGCGCAATCTGCCGACGCCTTCGAGCTGGTCCAGAACCCCATGCAGCTTCTCGCCTCAGCCGTCCAATCCACAGCTCCCGTCCTGACTCCTCCGGCATGCCAGCCTCGGGGCGACTTGAGCTCCTTTGCCGCAAGAGATGTCCTAGCCAGCATGGGAGTGGACGTTTCTGGCTTCAGCATGGACACCTCCAGCTCGGCCTCTGGCTGCATCGCCTTCGCCTTCTTTGCCTTGGTTTCTTTGGCTTCCTGGGGAGTCTTGTAACCGCGCTGCCGAAGGCAGCCGGGAACCAGTTTTGCCGAATGCCTGCATCGACCAGAGCCGTGGTGGCTCCAAAGTCTTGCAGGAAATCCCCAGACGTTGGAGACTAAAGACTTAAGATCCTCACTCCGTAAGCCGTAAGTCGAATGCATTGGGAAACCCCCAGTCACTGGTCGTCTTCTTTTTCTCTAACTGCTTGGGGTTCTTTGGTGTGAGCCCTTGCATCTGCATCGGGTAAAGCGTCTCGAACCGCGGGCCAGCAGTGGGCAGAGTTCCCTGGCTGTGGGCCAAGGCGGCTCTCGAGCACTAGCCTCCCTGTCAGTGACGCAAACATCAGACAGGCTTGGATCAAATCTCTGCGCAGTTTGCCGATGGTAGTGGCCTGCCTCCCCGCTTGTCCCTGGTCATGCTTGGTCAGCATCAATAGTTCTGGTAGTGGTGGACAAGAGTACTGGGGTCTTGTACTTGGCCCTTTGCTCTGCTCGGCCGAAGGGCAGCGATTGGGGATGCCATTTCGAACTGGATGACGATTGCTTGTGAAGAACAGGCAGCATCAGCACGTGAGTTTCCAGACTTACAGCACTTGCAGACCTCATCGGACGCGCTGACTTCAGCATTCAAGGTCCAGTCCGACGTGCCCACACAAGCACAGCGCTCACGGGAAGCGAAAGCTCGCCCGAGACGCCGAAATGTTACCAAAGGGAAGCAGCGGCAACATGCATATCTATCTTTATGTCTATGTCTATACCATTCTATACCTTTTCTATCAAATTCCATAGTTCTGTTTTGTTTGTATCTGTAGCTGTACCTGTATCTATATCTATTCTCGATCTAATTACAATCCCTCCATACATTCTCTGCCAGAGCCAAGCCACCACTGGCTGTTTCTGGCTAGTTGCTCAGCCAGGAGGCATGGTTGTTAGGTTGTCAGGCAGCGGTGCCCCAAATGAAGAAGCATCGCATTCGCCCACAACATGTACTGAACCTAGTCTGCGTGTTCGGTCACAAGAAGCTGGATCATCTCATATAGATCGGGCTTGTGATTCCGATGCAGCTGCAGGAATCCCCCAACATTTCAAGAGTTCGCTTTTCACACTGCTCGCTGCCAGGATGAGTTGGTTCAGCGTTCCCTTTTGTGGCTACAGCTGCGAGTGCTTGGCCCAAGTCATACTTCAGAAGGCTAAGTCTGCGGCGGTATGCGGCTTGGGGAGCTTGCTGTCTAATTGTTGACAAGCAGAGTTTGAGGCTGATACAGTTTCAGCCCAACAAAGGGCTGCAGCGATGAAAGCTTGCGGTAGGGGTGCCGCCCACCCCAGGTTTTCGCCCTTCCGCGGAAACCTGCTGGCAATCGGGACTGGCCAGCCCAGTCCTGAGCTGGGTCAGAGCCGTGCCTGGCCAGTGGTTTCCTTCAGCTTTGATTTGATTTCGCGCCATTGCTTCACGGAGCAGTCCCGACTCGTCCTGAAGACATGTCACGTCATCCAGGTACTTCGGAATTGTTGGCAATGGCAAGCTCCATGTACTGGACATCGCTGCGCCCGGCCTTGCCCTTGGGCCTTTTGAGCACTCCTAGGGTTCTTCTCTGCTTCATCGTCGCGGCATTACCATGCTTAAACTCTCCAGAAATCTGCGGCAAAGCCCTTCCATGCGCTTCTTTCCGCTGCCTGATTTGCTTGTGGAGGTTCTTGACTCAGGTGCTCCGGTCGGTTTACACTCTGGAAAGAGTCACAATGACCTTTCTGAGATTTACTTCAGACGTGGCTTACGGCTAAAAGCTGACCAACCACTAGCTCCAGGAGTAGAAAAAGTAGATGCGACAACAGTAGCATGAATACCATGATGTCCTTGTAGTGGATGCCGGGAGGAAAGCAGCAGAGGAAAGCGAACTACTGTTGTCAAGCAAAGTCTCATGACCTTGCTCGAAATTTGTCAGGTGGACAGCCGGCGATTGCCTCAGCCTGCTCTGCACTGAAAACAGGATGAGGTGGTGCCTCCCGGAGAGGACGAGCGCTGAAGCACTACGCCTAATCGCTTGCAATTCTTCGAAGACTGCGAGGTCTGTGAGTGGATGACCAATCAAGCGGTTTACGACGTTGCCTGGAGTGAGGCCAGGTTTGCAGAAGTTTGCAATCGGCTTTCGCTGAGGTCCTATCATGGATCAATCCTGCAGTTTGAGCTTTGAAGGTAGCTTGAGCTCAGGGACCGGCATGGACAGATGGGAGGATATAAATATGTAAACATTTACCACGTTTTGGAAGGAGGTTGGCTGGCTCTTCCAACCTTGTGGTCGGAAGAGCTGTCCTTTGTCCTGGGAGCTACCATTGTGCTGATTGGGGCACCGATCGTGTTATAGTGCTCATGGAGCCATGGAACATCGAGATAAGCTGTGCTCTGGGCGGATGTAATGCAAGCCGAGTTCCATGGCATTGTGCGGCGCGTCCGTCGAGCTTGTGCAGGCCAACGAGCACGTCCTACTTACGGGGCAGGCAGATGGAACCCTGAAGCTGTTTGCACAGCCCTTGGATCCAGCAAACTTGCGAGCCAGGAATCCATTTGCAGCTCCACTTGCTGAGGATTGGACCAACCCTCAAGGTCCCATCATGTCGCTGGAAGAGCACACAGCCGAGGCAGGCACTGGGCTTCAGATGAGAGTCTCAGTCTTGACAAAGCTCCATGTCGAGGTGTACGGTGTCGACTGGAACCTCAACGAGAAGCATCTCGTCCCTGCCTTGATTGCGGCGTCCCAGACTTGTACAGCCTTGAATTCAAGGTCTCAGGAACGACTGCTCCCACCTCCCAAGACCAATAGCTAAGGACGCTCACACATGTAAATAGCCACAGGAGCAAGAAGAACCAGGACGACGCTTATGCTTTCAGCCCTCGTGGTACTACGCTGAAACATGATGACGCTGCACCCGCCGAGATTTCTTCGGCAGCCTGGGACCACTCTGTCAAAGTGTGGGATGCAATGCGCGGGGTCAGGGCCTGAGTTGTTCCGGTTCCGGTCATAGAAACACCAGCTGCCGGCTATACTTGCAAGGTCTGCCTCAGCACTTTCCGCGCGCACCAGAACCTGGCCTACGCTGCAATCTGGTCTCCGGCTAGGCAGAAGAGCCGAAACCTGACGTAGCGGCGTTGAAGATGACTTTGACGGGCCTTGGCCACTTCGGTTCTCCACTTGCCAGACCGGCGTGCCTTGCGAGCGTGGGTGGGGATGCTATGCTTCACATCCAGGTGCGGGGAGTGTATGTCAGTGTATGTGTCACTGTCCTCATGCCTCCACTCCACTTTCGTTTCATCACAGGATCTCAATGCGGGCGAGATGCCCGTGCAGAGCATTCAGGCATTGGTGCTAAACGTGCTTTCTCATTGCATGAGACACTTGAGAAAATTTTCTTTCCTGTTCTTATATCAATCCGCCTGTAATCAATCTGCTGCTGCTGCTGCTGCTGCTGCCAGCGATGCAGCTTGCAGCATGCAAGACCATCTTGCAGGCTCACCAACACGAGATCCTGACAGTTGACTGGTCCATGCCTCTGTCGTGTCGTTATGCTTGGAAGGGAGCGCACCCCCCATGTACGTGTTGGATCGTCGAGAGACATTCTGCAGACCGAGCGCTTGCAACCACCAAGGAACAAGTACAATGAGTTTATGGTTGTCACAGGTAGCAGCCGGCTCAGGGGTGTGCGCTGTTGTTTTACAGATTTCCGCTGCTTTGTGCACTTAATCCCTGTAGTGTCATTCCACGCTCATAAGGTGTTGACAAGACCATCCGCACCTTTGACTTGCGCAACTTTGGCCAGCCCTTGCAGGCAACGCCTGGCTGGGTATTTTGCACTTTTGTGTGCCCAGTCTCCGGTACTTGGTGGGGTCTTGCAGTTCACCAAACAGCTGCTAGTTTGGCCATGCGCGCTCTGTTGTGTGTGGTGCGAGATTCTGCACGGGCATCAGCTGGCGGTCAAGCGAGTCGCACCCCGAGCTGGGAAGTCTAGAGTGGGTGCACCGCAGTTCTGCTAGACTGTAACAGACGGCTGGCTTCCTCAAGTACAGCTTGTCCAAGGTCAAGTGTCATCCGTACAACGAGACGCAAATCGTGGGCGGCTGAAGCCACTAGAGCCTTAGTGTAGTAAGTACTCTTCCAATGGCACTTTCTTCAGGTCTCGTGCTCGTACGACACGGCTGTGAATGTCTTCGACATGACCATGGGTCAAATGCAGCAGCCGCAGAGTCTATGCACAGCTGAGAGCACGTGATGCCGGTGGCCAGCGTTGAGAGCCGAGGATCCAACACTTCGACCAACATACGGAGTTCACTCTGGGTGTTGACTTGAGCCTCTTCGAGGAAGCTTCCCATTCTCGAAGGAATTGTCTCAGCGGAGAACTTTGCGATGCGCAGGAAAACGTCATTGCTTCAACTTCTTGGGCAGATCACTCAGTTTCATTGCTTCGGAGCAGCCGCTGTCCGGCTTTAGTCCTCCGGTGGTACTTCTATCCATGTTGCATCGATGCTCTGCGCTGAGCTGATGGGGCTCTCCGGGTTCCGGGAGAAGTATGAACATGTCATGTATAGCTAGTCAACGAGGCCTTTGTGCCGTGCGTTGCTGTTGTCGCCTTTCGTTGCTAAAGGTAGGCATGGTTACCGACCCAGCAGCGTATCGGAAGCAGTAGAAGCTTCGAGATATTTTGCGTGCACTCCCAAGGAACGGGGGCAACTCGAGACCTCAGGAATATACCCAAGGGCAAGCCAGGCGTTGCGAGTGCACAAAGTCGAAAGCAGGTGCAGGGCGATCACAGCATTCAAGGTCGGCGTGCCCGGTTTGTCACCTTGAATGACTCAGGACTGCACTGCCTGCGTTTGGAATCTTACTCAAGGACTATGTTGCTTATGGTTGGCGCGCAAACTCTCCAGAAAAAATAGCAGGTCCCAACTGAAGACCTGTTGTAGGACCGCCGCCTCCACCACCGCCGGCAATTGTACCGACCTCGACTACAGTGCGAGTCTGTAGCTTGCAGTACTGCTTTCAATGTCAAGGAAGCTTTCATGCAAGGTGAAGCGTGTTCCTCGCCAGCCACCCGGAGTGCAGTGATGGTGTCGTGCCACGGCTCTCGGCGCGGGGAGTCGTGATTATTTTGGTCCAGTTTAATCCTGGCCGTGCTTCAGAGACAGCCAGAGAGTCTCACCCCACCCGTCGTTATGTTAAAGCTGGCAGCTTGCACAGGCAAGCATAAGCTTTGTCCGACTTTGCGTCCTGGCCCGGGCCTTGCATTCGTAAGCTCCCGGAGCGTCTGCGCAGAAACAGGCTGCGTTTCCGGCACTGGCGCAGCTGCGCAGCTGCCGCTCGGGGCAGCTTTCAACGGGTTTTGTGTCGCCAGTGCCGGCTCAAGATCAGAGGGCCGAGGAGCCGAGCCGCCGCACCACCGAAGCCTTGGATTTACAAAGGCCGGGATCGTCAACAGTCTGTTCCTCTCGCAAACTCCAACTTTTTACGTGAGCGCATGAGATGGCAGTGGTAAGTTCATAGTAACTTCATGCAACAGGAGCACTGCCGAGTTTTCTAGTTGTATATAGCAGTGTGAACTTTGCATGTAATGTATAGTAGTACAACTACGTAAAGGTGTCGCAATGTAGTTGTAGGAATGTATAGTTCAAGATAGCTTATCATATGGCTCTCTCTCTCTCTCTATATATATATATATATACAGGTATATACATACATACATACATACCCTATGTCACTATGTGTATACATGCATGCATATGGAATTATCTAGAAATGTCTATGCTACTACATACATATCTGAGTCTACGTACATACATGCACTGTTGCATATAGTCATGCACATTTAATGTGTGCACACATCTCTCTCTATACACATACATGCATACATACGTACATACATACATACACATATGAAGAAATACACATAATTATGATATATGCATATGCACTTTACATACACGTGCACAGGCGAGTGCATGTGCATATGTGGGTATGCATGTATTTATGTACGTATGTGTGTAGGTACGTGCATGTAGGTACGCCGACTCGCTGATCAGCCGGTTGCTCTGTCTCTATGCATGTGGCAGTGCATCGGTTTGAGTCTAGTACTTTTAACATATGTCTGCGTGACTACCATCTTCCCGACCATCGACCGTGCAGGCGGCGAGGATGGCCAGACGGCAGGCCAGGCTTCGGAGCCAGCAGCCTCCTTGTCATTTGGCCCCCTTACCCCTAAGGCGAGCCGACATACTCATAGCTTCCTCAACGCGCGAGATGTCCAATTTGGGACCTCTCGGCTGATGGATCATACCCCTTCAAGCTCTTTTCCGAAAATTCTTGCGACCCGAGGGCTCAGATCGGGCCCCCGACCAGCTTGTTTTGTTTCTTGGATGACAGCTGAGTCCACAAAGTGTCCCGACCCAACGTTCTGAGATCGCATAAGGAGCAGTCAGGCACATTCCACTGTCACCAGCTCGACTGAAAGGTCAACCGTGCCGCCGTGCTGCCTCTGGCGGTGGCTGCAGTCCTTGCTTGCGTGACGAAGTTTTGCGGCTTGCCAGCAAGCTTTTAAAGTTTCGTGGAAGCAAGATGGCTCGGCCGGGGTTTTGTTAAGGGCGCACAGCTTGCTTGAACACCAGAGATTTGCAATTCCTGGCTTGGCACGGCCGGCTGCCATGCTTCGGTACGAACCGTACCGGTGGAATCCTTTGCAACTTGATTATCGCCGGTCGCCAGCCCGAATGTCCAAATCATGTCCTGCAAATCCGCCTGTCCCTGGGAACTGAACACATGGAATCAAAGTTTCTCAGTGATAGGGCGGCTGAGCATGACGGTTCTCAACGGTGCAGGGTGCAAGCTGGCCTTTGCCGGTGCCCAGGTGCATTCACGCTGCCGCAGCCAAGTAGCAGGCCTTTGACAAAGAGATGTCAGGTGTGTAGGTTGTCTCCAGTCGTGTGGGCCCGGCAAAGAGTTCTCCAAAAGTGCCTCTCTCAAGACTTCGGCTTTCAGGCGGAGCGATCGCGTGCGACTACATGCTGAGGCAGGTGTGAGAAAGAAGTCCAGGTAAGCGCAGACGAGTGAGCTGAGAGCACATTTTCGGCCACGGTACCAGACAAGATGTGCTAGGGCATTTCTCGAGCCACTGAAACCCTGTTTGTCAGGGCAAATGCATCGGCAACTGCTTGCAGCCAGATGGTCCCTGCCTTTGAAGCAAATGTGTGAAGCGAGGTGAAGCAGACTGGGGTGATCTTCATCCTCACAGAGAGACAGAGAGACAGACAAGCCGACGGACATTCGCACGCTCGTCCAAAGCGGTCTGCCGGCCGCACATGAGACGACCCCAGAGGAGGTGATGCATATGTTGAACATCACACTGCTCAAGAGCACACATGCTTGCGACGACAACCAAGCGAGAATCATGAGAGCCTGCTGCAGGAAAAGGGTGCCAATTGCCAATCCGACAACTCGCATGGAGGATCATGTAGGGGGCACCATACATGCGATGCTTGTGGCCTGTAAAGTGGACCTAGAAGAGACGGTCTGCCCCCAAGTGTCACATTGCCACGGGCCAGGAAGGCATCAGGCGACACGAGAAAGGGATTGAATGGGACAGTTGAGTGGGAAGTCAGACAACAGCTGCATGTCAAAAGACAAACATGGGGCCTCGTCGGGCCGACCACGCTTGAAAGTCAGCTCAGGTGCTTTCATCACACTAATCAAATCAAGCACGTGCACAGCAGCATGCAGAGGACACAACGCACCATGGCGGCAGGAGGCCACATCAACTACAAATCAAAAACCCCAACCGGAAACCAAACAAAAGCACAACCACAGAACGCGATCGACGTCAGTAGAAAGCGGGTACACCACTGGCAGGCTCGATTCGATCCAGAGTGCCTACCGACAGAGACAGACAGACAGACAGAGACGGCCACCGGACTCAAGTCATGCAGAGTATGAGTGGGAAACATGTCAGAGACCGGCTTCAGGGCCCTCTGATTCAGGTTCGTGGAAGCCCACTGGTGAGATTGACATTCAGGCCCAAGCTTTGACAATCACCATGCAGCATTTGTCGCTCATGCAGACGGCATGTGCGAAATGGCGGGGTATGGTGGAAGCATGTGCGTGGAAGGGGTTCGCGGCTGAAGGTCCTTCGAAGCTCCGGCGAAAGCCTTCTCACACCTCTGAACAACAATCGGTGCCGATTTAAACTTTGATCAAGAAGTGAACAATCGAACCGCTCATGCTCAAAGCGCCATTGGTTCGGCAGCACATGGTAGGGAGAGAGGTGGATGGGCATGGCCTGACCCTATAGAAGAGCATAACTTGCTGAAGTGGCTTTGTGAAGCTTACGGAAAGTCTTGGCAGAAAGGTCTGCGGAAGTCGGCGGAACCATCCAGTTTCAGCGGGGAATCCACATATTCATGTTGAGAGCTTCACGAAAGGGTTGTGTGAACTTTCATTTGGGTTGTTACGTCTTCAAAATTGCACAAGTCCGGGGCTCATGTTTGCAGCGCACATGCTCTGATGATGTCCGCCTGCTGCAGGCTTACGTCTGCCCAAAGCGGTACAGACAGGCAGCAGAAGCCAACAAGAAGACACACACACACACACAGAGCCTTGCAGCCACTGAGCACTGAGCGCCTGGCGAGACATCATAGGCGGGCTGCGTCAAACGGCCCGAGGCTGAAGAAAGCGTAGCTGCGGCAAGCGACAAACTGAAAGCTTGGTCAAACCTCCACACATCCTGTGTCTAATCCCAGCGCCATGGGCAATGGCTGCTCTGAGCCAACAGGCAGGGAGTGTCGACAGCAATTCGTGGCCAGCCCTTGGACTTTCCGACCTGGCAGACTGCTGCTGGGCTCCGTTCTATGCCCTGCTGGCTAGTGGCCGAGGTACCTCGCAGCGCTGTTTTTCAGCGACGCTCCGAAAATTCCTAAAGCGCAGTCGCCTCCGGAGGCGACTTGGTCCTCTACGGCTTCCCCCAAAGACCTCGCGGACCCGATGCCACGAAGGCAGCTTTGATGTTCAAAGCGGAGTGGTTGGCCTTCAAAGTCCACTAGTTTCTGCTCATGGAGGCGAATGGGAGCTATGTCCTGTGCGGAGCACCTCGCCGGCATCAGTATCTGTTAGGGTGCCTATTAAGTGGCATCTTGGGTGAGGTATGCGAGTACGCTGTGTTTGCAAAGACGTCAGTCAGCAAATCCTGACAAGAAGTTCCCGGCTGTGATGGATTGCTTGATTGCTTGTGCCCAAATCTTTGATCCAATGATGAATGCACTTGCCAAGCATCAAGTGGTCAGGAACACCATGGTCGCCCGGTGTTTCAGCATGTAAGCGGCACAGGCCGGCCATGGCATGCCGTGTGGCTGTACAGGTCCTCCCGGACTCTTCTGTTCACCTGCTGTCTTCCGCTCTCCGTCTCCCAACCTTCCATCCGCCTAGCAGCTAGGCGGGCTCGAGGATAAAGGAAGGTTATGCCGAAGCCATCCCAATTTCAGTGTCATTTCAGGAAGGCAGGCATTTTTCTATCACTGGCAGGCTCACGCAATCTGGAGGACGTGCCTCCTGGACCCACCGCATGATAATTGCCAGAAATACATTTCCGAACAGAACTCACATTTGGAATACTTATCCCCACACCATTCTGGAACACCTCTGGAGGAATGCCTTTTGGAACACTAAAAACTTCAATCCTGAATCTAGGCCTCAGGCTGCTCACGTAACTTGTAAGCCTAGCTCAACATCCAACCTCTCCTAAGAACGATGCAGTTGAACTCTTGTTGTTTACGGTTCAGGATCACGAGACATGCGACAGCTCTCGTGAACAGGCCCTTTCATTTACTTCTGGGACGAGCGGGACGGCGAGAACTGGCTTGGGGCCTTGTCGCCTGAGCTCTTCCGTAGCATCCTGCTTGCTCACCCTGCATCTCTCAAGGCGTGGCTGGTGGCTAGGGCCTGCTGTCGGTGCTGCGGAGGTTTGGGCATACAACGCAGCAGTGGAGGCGCAGCGTTTTCATATCCACTAGCCTTCCTCCGGAATGCGCCCCTCGTGCTGAGTTCGTCAGGAAGGTCCTCTCCCACCGACACAGTCCTGGCGTAGCCCATGGCATGGTCCGATCCATCCGATGCTCAAGCTGCAACTTTGCAGCAGTAGCAGTGTACTCGCCTTCGCCTCTTCCCAATCTGGGCATTGCTCGCATTGGCTTCACAGGTGCATCTGGCCCCGCACCAAGTTGAAGGCGCGGATGCAGGCCCAAATCGCTCACATCGAGTCTTCGGTCTCCCTGGGATCTCCCTTGTGGTCGGGTCTTGTCTAACATGGCCGGCCAGCGGCTAGCATCGTGCTTCCGCCCGAAGGCGACCCCTTCTGTCGAGCCTGCAGTGCCAGAGGCACAGCGAGCCGCCACAGCCTCAGCTGAGAGCGATGGGCTCGGCTTTTCGCAGCATCTCGGAGCGTTCAAGGTGCCAGCCTGGCTTGAGAACCCGGGTGAGGCGGAGGCTCGCAGCTCGATGTTAATCGGAGAAGCTGTGACTACGCTTGGAATAAGGTGGCCTTGAGCGAAGACTCCGCCCAGCTCGGCAGCTGCGGGGTACGCTGTCACGCTTGCATGGAGCTGCTACCACTATAGACCACACCCATGGCCCATGGTTCTTTCAACATCTTGTGACGCCGCTTCGAAGCGAGCGCTCGTCTCCCCGCGCCAGATCTGCCTCGAGCCACTCTGGAACGCGGAGCCCAGCAACTCGTCGCGGACAGCAGCGCAAGTCTTCCTTGCAGCATCTGATGATATTTGCTAGCTGCTAGCTGCTCGAGTCTAGATGCCACCGTACTACCAATTCGGTTTGCCCGTGCCATGGTATCTTCACAGATCAGCAAAGGTGTCTTTCTGGTGAACTTGAAGCGTCTCTGCCGCCACTATTTCTGCCGTGCCTGTGCAAAGCGGACGCTCACCGGCATTGGCAGTGGGATTGGATGTGAGGCAGCAGCATGCGAAGCTGTCGTCCGTCGTCCCGCTTGCATGGATTGAAGCAGCAATAGACAAGCACCGAGGATGTTGGTGGAACAGACGACACTTGGCCTCCGGCCCTTGCAGGAGGTCAGGGGAGCATGGGGGTCGCTCATGCTGTGGGGTTCAGGAACGGGGGAAGTGGGGGCCGACAGCGATGATCTTGCTGCAGGACATGCAGATAGGGATGCTCGCAGCTCGCCTGCAATGATCACATCCTTGGCCGTATGTACAGTCTGTTCGGAAGCTGCAGCTTGTGGGCATGCTCTCGGTGAGCCGATTCCATCTCAGCAGAATCAAGGCGAGCCTTTCATGCTTCACACGATCCCCCGCTACTAGTGGCAGTCACTAGCCTGTGCAAGCATCATGCGAGTTGCAGAAGTCCGCCCAGGATGGCCTTTCTTCCGTGTTGGATGGGGCAGGAAGGCGCTTAGGAGACTTGGCAGCTCGGCTCAGTGATTTGGTGCGTTGCTCGGGCTTCTGCAATTCTTGTTCCGTCAGGTTTGGTCCGAAACAGGCCAGCGACTGTGCGATGGAGAATTCTTCCTCGTTCTCACGCAGTCGCCTGACCAAGGACAGTTTCAAGACCACACTCAAACTCTGCAATCTGCTGTGTCGACGTCTACAGCAGCGGCCTTTGCATGCTGAGGTTGCAGCGATTGAGACACTTGGAGGACTGCTTCTTCAGACCAAGTTGCTCTGTCTGCATGATCTTACAGCGACAGCGCTCGTTCAGAAACAGCTACTTTTTCGTGAGGGTGGGGGGGCGGGCAGGATTTCTTACTTTTGAAGCGCACCTTCTTTTAGTACAAAAAATGTTTCGGGATTTGAGGGCACCCTGGATTTTTTAAACCCAAAATTTTTTAATGTGAAGCGGCAGCAAATAAAAAACAAGTGCAAGAAATGAGGGCACAGGAGGGTTTGAGCACAGGAGGGTTCGAGCCCGCAGCATCTTCCATTCCAGCTCATGTGCTTATCCACTCGGGCATGGCGTCCTTCAGACTCCCTAAACGCCATCATATCAATCCCAGCTTGTAGTCAGCCCTTACCAGAACCCCCCCAATATAAGAAATCGAGCCCCGCAATTTCTTAAGTTTAGGAAACCGAGCCCCTCAATTTCTCATTTTGGTGTTTTTTTGCTACGTGGCAAAGCTTCATTTGAGCCCTTATCAAGCCGTTGCAAAGCCTCGAGAGCCCTCCAAAGCTGTTATTAAGGCCTTATCAAGCCCTTATTAGGCAAGCCCAGAACCCACTAAAATAAGAATCGAGCCCCTCGTTTTCTTAAGTCTAAGAAAACGAGCCCCTCAATTTCTTATTTTCGTGGTGTTTTCCTATGTGGCAAAGATCAGAAAACGAGGGGCTCGATTTCTTGTTTCAGTGGCTTATGGGATTGCCTAAAAAGGCCTTAATAACAGTTTTGGAGGGCTCTTGAGGCTTTGTAAGGGCTTACTAAGGGATTAAATTAAGCTTTGCCAAATATAGGAAAAAGCCACCAACATAAGAACTTGAGGGGCTCGTTTTCTTAAATTTTAGAAAACGAGGGGATCGATTTTTTCATTTTAGTGCGTTCTGGGCTTGGCCTAATAAGGGCTTACTAGGGCCTTAATAACAGCTTTGGAGGGCTCTCGAAGCTTTGTAAGGGCTTAATAAGGGCTTAAACTAAGCTTTGCCATGTAGCAAAGCTTTGCCATGTAGCAAAAACACACCACAATAAGAAATTGAGGGGCTCGATTTCTTATATTGGGGGGTTCTGGTAAGGGCCGACTACAAGCTGGGATTGATATCATGGCGTTTAGGGAGTCTGAAGGATGCCATGCCCGAGTGGATAAGCACATGAGCTGCAATGGAAAGTGCTGTAGGCTGGAAACTTCTCCTGTGCTCTCAGTTCCTGGTTTTCTTTGTAAGGGTTTGGCGCCGAGCTTGTGGAATACGACATCTACGCCCTTAGTTTCTTGGTTTCATTTTTCTGCGAACAACACCAGCCAAGACAGAATGAGAAGAGCAGAATAAGAAATTGGCACGCCGAGTCCAGGGTACCCTGGATTTCTTGCGCGCATTTTAGGCAACTTTGTTTTGTCGCGCGGCTGTCCGAGGGGCTCAACTTCTTAAACCAATGAATTCTCAAGCAGTGCTGTTGCTGCACCCTGCATGCAACGTCTTTACTTCCTAAAAGCGCCTCAAGGAATGTGTAACATGTCGAATTACTACAGTCACTTGTCATAGCCAGACAGTCGTACAGTTGGTACTGTGGAGCCAGGCCGGCATGGAGTTTCGCTTCAAGGCTCCCCTCCTTCGTGGCTTCCAGACATTTCTGCTTGCGGTGCATGATAGGTCCTAGGTCTGCACTCAATGAGAAATTACACAAGTCTCAGCCTGCTGAGAACTGACAAGGAAGGCGAGGCGTTGGTCATCCGGCGAGGCCAATAAGCAAAGTTCTGCATACAGTTGTGAGTCGGGTTTGCCTGCACGCAGAATCTGCGCACGAGAGGTGGCCATGCTTCCTAGTCTGAAATTGGAGAATGGATTTCGGAGTAAATGTAACCTGTTAAATTGGAGAATGGATTTCGGAGTAAATGTAACCTGTTTGCATTGTGCTCTTCTGTGGGAGGAGACGTTCCCGGGAGGAACAAAGCACCTAGACCTAGAGGGCTCGCCTAATTCAAGATGTCAAAATGAACGTGGTTAGAAGGATTGTTGTTCAGGTCCGATATGGCAGTCAGACATTCTGTGACCCTCCTTTGCGCGACGGTCAACAAGTTCGACCGTCTCTCCAAGTCCAGAGTTCGGAGGTGTCCTGCTGGGCTGCCTTCTGAAGGGAGCCTGGCGCACACTCAAGCGGATGACGCACGAGGTCTGAAGGGAGACAAGAGCCCCATAGCCCCAAAGCTCATCAGCTTTTCTCCAGGAGTTTCTCCAGGAAGGACTCGAGGATGTGACGGTCAGCAGCCGCCCGGAGCTTTGGAGCTCTTCGACGTCTGCTTTTTCATGAGATGTGTCATCCTGAGGCAACATCAAAGATTTGCGATCAAAGCCTGGCACTTACGTCAGCTTGAGAGTGCCAGGGGACGAGATTTTGGAACATCGCAGTCAGTCGAGAAGTTAGCGAGGTATGTGCAATGCTTCCGCCGAGGTTCATCGTGTACAGCGGAGGAGAGTTCAGCTGCTGGACGTGTGGCCGATGCTCGCTGGAGACGCCGAGCGGCATCTGAGATCCGGCTCAGTGCGAAGTTTCGGATGTCCAGACGGCCTGATCTTCAATGTGGCACGAGGAACACCTCCAGCGATTTCAAGTGCAAACTTTGTTGCTGGGCCGAAAGAGCGGTCAAGACGCTGCATGTGCATGCAAAGCAACATGTGCCAGCTTCGGCATGCAGCTCCCTGGTACCAGAGCAAGGTGGAGGCCCACCGCAGCGGCCGGAGGCGAGCGCAGAGTCGGTGTCCGCGGGAAGAGAGGCGGAAACTTTGGCTCAGCACACTTGGTCAGGAGATGCCTGAACAGAACCTGCCATTGGACAGATTTGGAGCTGCAGCGCTGAGGACGTCCCCAGTATAAGCGTGTGACAGGAGTGACATGTCATCAGAGGTACACAGATACACCTCTAAGCAAAGCGGGCTGATGCAGCATTTCTTCGCACAGGAGTCGATTTGCTCTGCGACCTCAGCTCCATTGGGCCGTACCTTTACAATGCCGCATGTCCCAGTCTTCAGGATCTTGTTGCTGTTATCCACACTGACTTAGTGAGCTTCTACTGCATGCTTTTCTCAGCCGTGCTTTTACATCTTCCGGAATTTGCAGTGCAACGGTGCGCAAAGAAGCCTCTGCCGTGGCAGGGGCTGCTCAAAAGAGCGAACGCATGTTTGCTTGAGTACTGAGACTGTGGTTCTTCGAGTCTGATTTTGTTGATCTTCTGCCGCGCACCAACCGCTAACCTCGAGGTCCGCTGTGCCGGAATGGAGGTACGGCTTCCGTCACCCCGATGCCGAGCCTGCGCGAGGCCTTGGAGTTGCCAAACTTCTGAGAGAAGCGAGACAGGAGACATGTTCGGTGTCGGAAAGGCTCCCTTCGATTGGTTCAGCCTCGTGGATGTTGCCGGGGCTGGGAAGCTAAGCCTGCTCGAGGCTCAGCACTTTCCGGAAGTCTGCTGACATCCGCTCAGTAGGTATGGTGGGTCCGGCGCAGGTACTGCAAGAAAAAAGAATACATGTAGCCTACCATCAACTCAACGACACAACTCGATTGCTGAGCGAAGTCTGCGACGCCTTTGGATTTCCGAGCTGGTTCTATGGGACGTAGGCTTGTTCGTGTCAGGTTCGAGCTGTCAGCCGGCCTGGCCACTGTGTTGCCACTCAGCTCAGAGCGCCGGGACTCCCAGAGCCAGGCTTGAAGTCCGTTGTAACTACGACTGTGAGCTTGAGGCCTGGAATCCGAGCTAAAAGATCAATTTCCCGCTCTTCGCTGGCCCATCAATTACGAGCAGTTCGCTCAGCAGGACACTGCCATAGAAAAGACACCGAGCATCAAGAAGATGTGGCCTCACTTCAGTTGGAGTGTCACGGCTTCCTGATGCAAGTACACAGAGCATGTCCTGCTTGCACATAGGAATAAGCAGGAGAGTGAAATGGCATCAAAACAGAGCATGCACTTGTGTTTGATGTAGGGTGTAAAGCATGCGCGAACAAGAATGCTCACCGCAGCAGCAGTAGTAACAATAACAGCAACAACAACAGGGACAGCAATGGCACTAGCAGCAACGACCCCGATAGCAGGAACAGTAGTAAGAACAGTAGCGACAACTTTAGCATGAGTATCAGCACCTTCAAAAGATAATCACAAGAAGAGGGCAAGCATACAGCAACAGCAACAGCAGCAGCAACAGCGCAGCCACAACGACAACGCCAACGCCAACGGCGACGAAGACGACGAGAGCGACCACCACGACGACGACAGCAGCAACAACAAGAGCAGCAAGGAAGACAATAAACAACCCTAGGTAATAACAACAAGACTAAATCAACGAATTCATACGCAGTTATGGATAGAGATACTAATCATAATAGCAGCAACCATGCTAACAGTACTAAAGAGGCACCCATCTCGCTCAACAGATCGAGGTTGAGTTTTTCGTGTGCTCTCGCCGATCACGCCTGATCAGACCTCCAACTCGTTTCTTGCGAGGAGGGCCCCGCACATTGGGCCATGAGACAGCTGCAGGCATAGCAGTGCAGAGTCGAGTAATGCTTCCGTTGAGATTTCTGCACTCGCTTTTGGCAACCAGATGTTGCGGAAGACACAGACATTGCTCAATCAGACAGACCGTTGCAACATAAACTCTGACGCTCGCCACCTTGCCAGGCTCTCCACCGCCATGACGGCGGTGCTAGGCGGTGAGCTGCGCAAATGCGGGCTTTGGACGACTAGTGAGTTTGGTTCCAAACACCAAGATCCACTCACTGGATGTGCTGTCCATCCAAAGCCCGATCTTATTGCAGCGCTGACGCATCTGCAGCTCGTCAATTGGCTCTTGATCAAGGAGCCACGACACATCGCAAAATAGATGATGGTTTCATGCATTCATTTGAGTTTCGGACAGCCGCCACCGCTTTGAGAGTGCGACACCGCGTCTTCGTTTCGCTGGTGCTCACTGTCCAACTTTGCACCTTCAATCCGATGTTGCCCATGAATCCTGGCGTCTCGTTGACAGGGCCCCGAGGAGGAAGCCCTAGCACAGTCGGTTTGGGAGGCACGTGCGGACATCTCTTAAGGTTCCGGTGCTGTTGCAGCAGTGCAGATTGCACACACCTTCGATGTCGTGTTTTGCTCTTGACTCTTGCCTCCTCTTCTAGATCCAGTCAAGCTTGCTCAACCCTAAACCGGCAATTGCAGCCATCGTCTCTACCTGAGCTACCGTTGCTTCAGTATTTGTGAACACTTCCAAACCTGTTCCGATGCACCCGTCCAAACCGAAATACCAGTAAATGTGGTGGTATCGAATTTCAGAAGGGGTCGGGGGTACGGACCGTTGGAGGGGTGTGGGCTGTGGCGCTCTGTGAGGAGGCGTTCATGCAGATTAGAAGCCGCACTGCCGATGTTGGCCAAAAAAACTGAAACTGAAACCGGTTTTGTCATACCATGCTCTGCCATGTCAGCTGAATGCTCGAGCTATGCGAGGCGTTCCAGGAGCAGTACACCGGTGCTGCAGAACGCGGCATGTGCGCTGTGAGTAGACGTCTAATGCTTGGTACTGTACGTAGCAACATGCCATTCGAATCAACTTCAGCCAGTTGGGATGAGCTGGGGAAGTCGTAGAGACATGCCACCTCCGTTGCCTGCATTCACTTCACTGTGCGACAGCAGGTTAGTCTGTCCACATGGTAACTTGAGGTACATGGACACGCCCGTGGGTGAGAACGACATCAAGTACAGATGGAGGCAATTGGCAAGCGCTGTAGGCTTGGGGGCTTCCGTGTCGCTCGAAGAGGCGACTCCGTGACACCTTCGGCATCACCAGTGAGGAGGCCATTGCATGAAATCGCGGGAGATGCTTGGCGCAGGGCGATGAGTGCTCCTGTCTGACCAACAGCTTTGTTGAATTTTGGGCTTCCTTGACAACCTTAGCCTATCGGAATTATAGGTGGTTTGGCTATTATTGGTTATAGTCCCAACACCCCAAAAAAGCGTAATATAGCGTTATTTGGCTTTATAGCGCTTTTTGGCTTCAGGACTGCTGCTGCTGACTTGGTCACATGGGTCTGTAGGGTGCTTAAGATTATTTGGAACAGGTTTTGCAAGGGCCATACATTAAGAAAGTTCTGGTATATTAGCACATTATATGTGATTCTTGTTCAATCGATCTCGATCGAAGCAAGTTATTGCAGGGCGTGTTGTGCACCCGCATGCGCAGCTGCTGAGCTTTGAATGTGTCTGCGGATCTGTGGCTTGCTTCGATCAAAGGTGCGCCCCCGCCCTTGTTTGCATCAGGGCCCTTCAGCTTACTGTCGCATGCTCTCCATGGATTGCTGCTGAAGCCGGCTGCTCAAGTCATTTTGTGTGCATATTTTAGTGCACTTGTGTTTGGAAGATGGCCGCCCGCATGTTGATCTCGTGCTCTCTCGAGAGTCTGACCCTTGCGCATAAAGAAGGACAGATTATAGCACCTTCATTTGCCAAAAGCTTTTTCAAAAAATAGACATTGAATCCCGGAGGACTCATCCCGATGCCAGATTCTTTCTGGAATGCCTCTGTGGAGGCCATTTACATTGGATGTGAGGCAGCTTGATCTGCACTATATCGACTAGCATATGGCATTGGATTACGCAGCATCCCTGACTGGAGGTACCGGACCCCGACACAATGCTTCATGATATCATCATGAACATCAAGCACAACGGCATCTGCAAACATTTCTTGGATATATGCTCCAGCGGAGGCTAGGTGGCTAGATAAACTCCGGACCTGCAGCATGATCGCACTTCACTTTTTCGGCTGCTGCAGGCAAGCTGGTGTTCGACACTCGACCGCCTGCCGTATGATGCAAGATGATCAATGAAATATCTGGGGCATGGGGACTAGCACGGAGGACGTGCTGCGCAGGGGCTGCTCTTTTGCCGTTGGACAACACACAGCTCAGTTGCTCGATCTACCAATGGAAGACTGTGTGGCACCAGGGGCTCGAGAGGAAAACCTACACAGTGCGCACAGCCTGCTGATTAAAATATGCATCAATTCCTGTGTTGCACGATCCGTCGCAGGTCGTGAATGCTACGGTGATTTTTTGAAGGCCGGCATGCTTAGGCTTGGCAGTTCATTGCACAGGGCCCTCATATCACGAAATTCGCCCCATTAAAGCCTTGCCTCGCAGGTCTTTCTCGAATGGCAGGCTGCAGGCGCGGCACCTTAAGAATCATTTTTGGATCATGCAACAACTATATTGATCCGGAGGCTGTGCTTCCTGTACTTCTTCATCAGCTGCTTTTGTTTGGGTGATCGAGCTGATCTGCTGGGGGCCTGGATTGCCGAGAGACTTCCGAAATGACTTTTGCAAATAGTGTCGCCTAGGCCTTGGACAATTCGATTTTGGTCCTCGAGAGGCTGTTTCAGTGCTTCCGGTTTCTATAATTCAACATCATGTGTCGATAGCCTGAAGGTCCCTGCAGTGGGAGAGGACAAGGCCTCATCTGCCCCCGGCTCAGGCCTGCAAACCTCATGGTCAGACCAGTGCGACTGAAGCTTCTTTTGCTTGAATGGCTCTGCTTTTCAAACCTATATATACTTTCATCCGAAGAGGGGCTCAGGTACACGATTTCAAACCGTGCAGGGACTGAGGAACCCAGCCATGGCAGCCGTGGCCAATCCTGCAGGCCCCGAAGGGCCTCCATTGCGTATGAGGCGCCAGGCGTCTCAGCAATGGCCAGCAAAGGGTGCCTTAGCCAAGGCGTGGGAGGAAAGCAATGAGATCAGGCAGTTTTATCGGGACAACAAGGCCCATCTGATCACTTGGCCCAGTGTGGAACTTGTTGGTGCTGCAAGTTTAAGAGCGCTGGCTATGAATGTCCCGGTGGTGAAGATCGCTCTTACTTTGTGGTGTGGGGCTTGCGAGAAAGCTAAGACGATGCCCATCGATTGGTTGAAGCAGGAGGCTACTTTTGCAATGCATCTGTTTCTCTCGATCTCTCGATCTCTCGCTCTCTCTCTCTCTCTCTCTCTCTCTCTCTCTCTCTCTCTGTCTCTCCTTCTCTCTCATAGCCTTCCCTGCTTCAGGTTCTTGCCCTCCACAACCTCCTCCAAACTGGTGTTACGAGCCGGTCTGTTGCTGTCTATGTGGATGCTTGGGGGGTCAAGCGTTTATCCAGTTTGGCAATGAGACGATGGAAGGCTCCGATTGCAGCTTGCAGGGATCCTCGGCACATGTTCGCCCAGCTTGTTGCCTCGCATGATATATTGTGTCGATTGGTTGATGGTGTCAAGTGTCAGCTCAGGACCGAAGCCTTCATGTTCTGTTCGATGTCATGACAGAGGCGTGGGGAGAAGCTGCCGAGGACGGCTACGAGGATGATGAAATGGCTGCTGGCGCGGGTGAGGCTCTGGATGGTGATGACCCCGCCGGAGCGGGGGTTGGCGATATCATGGGTGATGATGCTAACGATATGGTCGAGGTCAATGACGATATCGATATGGCTGGTGATGCAGCCGGGCATCGAGATGCGGCACCGGATGCAAGAGCAGCTGCAGTAGATTTTCTGAATCGACGAATCCTGGAGCTCCAGAACCTCGGGCTGCACACATGTATAGGAGATGCCCATAGCCAGTGTTGTAGTTGCACTCCGAATTGTTCTGCAAATTGAGGAGGGACTTGGATGAGCGCCGAAATCAACGTCTGGGTGGCTGCTTATTTGCATATATGTAGGCAGCATGCGACTCGAATCAATGTCTGCAGCATGTGCCCTGTTATAGCTACATAGGAGATATCAACAATGTCGACACGGTGCCCCACAATGTCATGGATATGCCCGATATCATGGATATCCCGATCTTCGGATTCGACGAAGTTCAGTATATCAGTGATAG